TCCAAAAACATCTTGCAAAACACATCTAGGCATCACCGCCTTCTTGCTCGTCAGCTACATATATATAAGGAGATGGTGAGCTTGGATACTCAGTGAATGATAGTAGTAATAAAGGTTTGCATGAATGTTATTCAAGATTTTCAACAAAACAATACATAGCATAGTTTGTACAAAATCAAGGGATGAACCAAGTTCATCTATCAAGTCTTTCAAAGCTTCAAGGAATGCTTACTAGCATCAATATAATACAAGGGATAACATTCCGAACAAAACCCACGCGGTAAACCGTCGGTGGCAAGACAAAGGGAGATATCTCAAACAAGGGTGCTAGTTGCATTATAGTCCCCTAGCACTAAAGACTTTCAAAACAAGGGTGCTAGTTGCATTATAGTCCCCTAGCACTAAGGACATTCCAATAATGTAATCAAAACAAATATAATACTTGATACAAAAATTAGGAATAATCATTCATGCTTGATCAAATACTTTTCCAAAGCAAAGCAAAGTTTTATCAAAACTTTATAACATAGCTTTATTAAAAATACCATTCACATAACTCCTCGTGTGCAGGGATTAAAGCAAGGGTTCCAAGGCCTACAAGCACATAATAAATCCCATTGAATGCTCTTCAAGAAGTCAAGGAGAGATGCTCAAAGATGGATATGAAATGCATTCCTAAAACAAGTTTTACATGAGTGTAGATGATCGCGGCATTTCTTTCAAAACTAAGTCAAGACAAAGAAAAACATGTGTTGGGGGTTAAAACACTGTTTTTCATCTCGGAAAATATGCTGGGCACCAACCAGGTCTTAGCCGAGGTCCCACACCTCTTGGCCGAGGTGTGGTCCCGATGACCACACTCAGGGAAATGAAGTCTGGAAATTTTGGGTTTCTTTTGAAGAACAAGACGAACAAGAACATGAAGAATATGAATACTAAAATCATAACTTCATTCAAAATTTGAGATTTTATGAGATGAGTTCGAAAACATGGACCTGGGTACCCATATTTGAAGATCTTATGAAAACAAACACAAAAACATGGATCTTGATACAACTTTTGGATCAAAACATGGTTTTCTTTCAAGAACACAAGAATATCATTTTCTCTTTTTAAAATCAAACTTTAAATCAATGCATGGCTTATGAATCATGCTAGATCATGCAATGCGATTAGATCAACATAAAGAACAACAAGAATAGATCAAGAATCTAACCTCAAAACACGGATCTAACGGTTCAAGGTGTGAAGATCAAGCTTGGAAACCCACTCTCACTCTAAGAACTCTTCCTAGAGCTTCTCTCTCTACCATGCAAAAGATATGACACACAATGATATGTTTTCTCCCCCTGCCGGCTGACTTAACCCTTTGTTGGGACACGTGGCGATGACTGGTTGGCTCTCCTCAAAAGGTGACTGACTGACAAGATAAGAGCATGACAAAGTGTATATAACAAGTAAGGTGGCAAGGGCACTCTGACAAGGCAAAGATCTCGGGTTAAAGCATCGGCTTCGGCAAGTAAGGTCTCCATGATCTCGGTTAGGAAGGATAACACTTGGCTTAACTGTGCCACACCTCGGCCTAGATGTGCCACACCTCCGTCTAGGTAATTCCAGTCCAAGAACGAGACCACTAGGTGCAGGGATCAAAGATCTAGGACGTCTAGATGAACACCTCGGCCTAAATGATGACATCTCGGCCGATGTGCCAGGGTGAAGGTGGAGGTCAGCCAAGGTGGTTCCAAGATGGATCCTAAGTATAAGAGGTTCGAAAGTGTGACCTAGGCTTAGGATGACCTCGGCTTAACACACCAAGCAAGGAACAAAGCATACAAGCAACATTTAGACAAAACAAATCAAAGTCTGTAAATGTAAACTTAATCAAGACAAAGATTATGCAAATGTACGTGAACATGACTAAGATAAAAGTGAGGGTCGTTATAATGAGAGAACCCTTACCTTGTATTGAAGTTTTAACTAGTAAAGAGGTAGAATGAGGTAGAGAGGTGAAGAGAAGCTTCAAGAAAGCTTGAAGAGCACTTCAAGTTCTTCAACTTTATCTTCAAAACCATATCCATTGTGTGTTCCAAGCTCTCACAAAACTACTCAATGTTTAACAACTGTGAAACTAGGGTTAACCCCAAGGGGTTGGCTTGGTGGCAAGGCCTTGGGTCTTGGGCGTGTGCTCCCTCCAAGGCTCAGGGATCAAAGCTTCTTAGGTGCTAACAATTCTTTGGGGCTATTAGATTCGAGGGAAAACCCTTGAATTAACTGTGGTGCACTTGCGGAAAACTTCTTGCCGATGGCCTGTGCACCCTTGGAAATTAGTCGAGCTTTGATCCTGTCACCCCAGTGCCAATAAAAAAAATAGTGAAACTAGGGTTAGGGTTTCAAGTGCTCCAAGTGAAGAAGATGAAGAAAATAAGAGAGAGAGAGAGAGAGAGAGAGAGAGAGAGAGAGAGAGAGAGAGAGAGAGAGATGGTTTTGATCAAGTCTTGAAGTGAGATTCAATCTAAGCCACACATTTCAAACAAAATAACATTATATATATATATATATATATAACATCACTTATATAGGTGCAAGGAAGGTTAGCACACCAATTATTGCAAGACATTCTACTTTGGTGAATGGTGTAAGGTACTCAAAGAAAGTGTAAGTTTTGTACCCAGCTAAAGAGGAAAGAAAGGGCAAAAAGGGGCAAAGAGCATGGCTGGGTGGTTTGACCTCCTTTTGGATCCCAATTATATTCAAAATGCTACATTAAGGGTTTTGGGCTTCCCTTCCAAACCCTAGCTCAAAACTGTATAGTTTGGATATAGAAATTATATGTTTTCTGTACTATAATCCACAAAATTCACAGGGATAAGTAAAGTAAATAAAATACACAAATCACATAGAATCAATAATTACTGGGCCCAAAGAGTCCATCTTTGAAACTCAACTTGGATTGGGCCAGTGTGCACGCATGAGGCAAGCAATGCACCATAACTCTTAATTCTCCCATGTCTCTAAATTAAAAAATAACACCATATAAACATAAAAATATCTAGTATCAGGCTCGGTGAGTCCGTCTCTCAAATCTCATGCTAGTTCAGACCTGAGTGCATACAAAACAAGGCAGTTGTCGCCTTGCTTTTCACAAGCGAGGTACTTCTAATTTAATAGGATTGACCCTATGATCATACCAACATCTTACATTGGGCTCAGAGAGTTTGTCTTTCGGGTCCTGAGTCAGCTCAAGAATCGACACACGCAAATTGAGACAATTAGATGCACAAAAAATTTACCAACAGAGGTTTAAACTAAAGTGAATAAGTGAAACTTGTGGGCTTAATTATAAGTAATTAAACTTAATTAAGGCTCAATTACAATAATAAAAATTTTAAATTTTGCTGAGTCATTAGATATATTAAATAGTTTTGGAAATTACAACATTAATGAAATAACATAGACCAATATACACTCAACACAATCACTCAAGCAAATTCTAGATGTTGGGAAGTGTGGAGCAGTGATACAGACCAATCTCCAGGTTTCAATGCATGTAGTGCTTGCCCATAAACTCAGACCTACCTTGTCATGCCTAGCACCTGAGCTTTTACTATTGCATAGGGTAGTGGCCCTCTAACGCTATATAACTGAAGGAATAATATTATTTTCTTTGATTTCCAAACTTCGACTCTTTGTTTTTTCTCTTAATATTTTTCCTATCATAAACATGTTAATTGTATTTTTTATCACTTTACCAAGAATGTGTCTGTCAACTTACGTGGTTAGTTGATTTATGCCCTGTTATGCTCCAGTATTTTATGACACGTTCCTGCACTCAAATACGTCACCTTGTGTTATTTTTAGATGTTACAAAACTACTCTACAAATATTATTGTTTGAACTTGGTAAGGCCTTGATAGACTTGGTATTCTAAATAGAGCTAGGTCATGAAATTCAATGCGATTCCTAAAGAAAAATTCATGTGAGTGTTATTGAGAATACTGGAAGTAGTATTAACTTAAATTTTGGACACTGCATTTTAAAATTAGTTGTTTATAAGGGTCAAGATGGAATAACGGCTAATAACATCCTTGATGTAAAGCATTGTATGGGGAAGAGAACAGACAAGAGAAGAACACAAGGCTCACAACCCGAATAACAAGGCCACAACCTTAACACTCAATTTTGGAGGGTGTTTGGGGTTTGTTTTTTTTCTTGGTTTCAGGCTTTTTACGAAAAGATGTACAGAAAAGTAGAGACAGTGATGTGACAACTTGTAGTGACTTTTTTGCTTTTTTTTTTCCTTTTTTTTGCTTTTTGACTTTTTTTAATAATGTAAATATCCGTAATACAATGCGAGGCCCAATATTTATAGGCGAATAACCCTTATCAAAATAGGAATTTAACTCACAGAGAAAGAAACTAGAATCCCTAAAAATATATGAAACCAAATATTACTAATATCCTAATTAAACTATAATTAAAAAAGAAAATAAATATAAATACTAAAGACATAAAATTATAGAATTGTAAATAAATTTTCATGCCATGGTGCACATGTTCTGCATCAATACTTGTTTGGTTTTATCATTGCATGCAGTTTTTGTATTCCATGGAAATTGTCTTGCCTTGTAAATCTTCATTTTAAATACCTTTATGGACATCTAATTTGGCTTTGTTGGTTCTGATTTTGTAGTAACTGGTGCCTCCTGCGGTTATGCCTTCGTTGAATTTGAAACGGAAAGAGAGATGCGGCATGCATATGAGGTGAAAATTAGAAGAGAAAGCAATTTTCTAGTGTAACACCAAATGTCACGGTTTTTCCCTCTTGGAGCATTATTAAGGTTGGCTGGTGTTCAATGTGTTGACTGTTGACGTGTATGTGTGCATGTAACTTTAATCAACTAGGGAAAACTAATTTTGATGACATATTAAAGAAAAGTTGAGGCTGTAAAAGAAATATGGGTAGCTTCTAACAAGCTAATTGTGAATTATAGGGAGCCATAAGACAGTATAACAAAGTCATTAATACTTAATTATCCTTTCTGTAGATAAAAAACAATAAAAAATAAATTATAGATAAATATAAATTTCGTACCCTTCAGATTAATTAGCTTTTGGCTTTCTAGTAGTGTTCCTTGGGACATTATTAAGTACTTGTTAATGTCTTTTAGTGAAAGAGAAGGCCAAAAAGCTGACAATGCTCAGGGATGCAATGTGTAATTTAGGGTGACATGGCACTTATGCATCTTAGCTCCCATTTGGATGGTTTGCATTGAAAAATGCTTCTAATTTGGGTCAACTATGTAGAAGGTCTAATTAAAAGGATGAAAAGAATGATTTGGCTTACCTATGAATGAGGTAGAGGCCATGTATAAATAAGGAAATAATATAAATAAGGAAACAATACTAAATTAGTGATTGGCACAATCGCAGATTATATGCATAATACTAAAAATAAAGAGATTCTATGTACTCTAATTTTTATATTCAACACTCTCCCTCAAGCTGGTGTGAAGATATTCAACAATCGCAGTGTGCCAATGGATGACTGGAGTAACGTTGGTCTGGCAGACTTTGTGAACATATCTACTAATTGTTGAGAGAAAGAGACAAAGAATGGACTCACAATACCAGTCCGAACCTTTTCTCAAATGAAATGAATATCAACCTCTATATGCTTAGTACGCTCATAAAGGACAGAATCAGAGGACAGTATAATAGCAAACTTCTTGTCACAAAATAAGGAGGCACTCCTTAAAACCCAACTTTGCTAGAATAGAACGAAGCCATAGAATCTCACATGTTCCTTGTGTCATAGCTCGATTCTCAGCTTCTGCAGAAGATCTAGAAACAATTGCTTGCTTTTTACTCTTCCATGATATAAGATGATCACCATAAAAAGTACAGAAACCAGAAGTAGAACGCCGATCAGTTTTAGATCTTGCATAGTCAGCATTAGTGAAACAAGAGAGCCCAGATTGAGCGGCTATAAAGAATAATCCCAAGCCATGAGAGGTCTTCAAATATCTCAAAATGTGATGAACTATATCAAGATGTTTTGTAGGAGGTGCATGCATGAATTGACTAACAACACTGATTGCAAATGTCAAGTCAGGTCTAGTGTTGGTTAAATAAATTAGATGTCCAACAAGACGCTGATATATGCTTGGGCCCTCTAACAACTCGCCAGACTCTAATGTGAGCTTGACATTGGGATCTATAGGAGTAGAAGCAGGTTTACACCCTAATATATCAGTATCCTGAAGTAAGTCAAGAGTGTACTTTTTTTGAGATAAGGAAATTCTCTGCCGTGAGCGAGCCACCTCAATCCCAAGAAAATACTTGAGACTTCCCAAATCCTTAATATCAAAGGTGTGTCCCAAATCCCTTTTTAATTGATCAATGCCCTATAGAATCATCACCTGTGAGAATAATATCATCCACATAAACCAACAAGACTATACACTGACCGGTTGAATTACGATGGATGAAACAAGTATGGTCGGAGTGGCATTGAACAAACCCTATGGAGATGATGACAAAACTGAAACAACCAAACCAAACTCGTGGAGATTGTTTCAAGTCATACAAAGACTTGCGCAATCGAGACCCTATCATATGAAAGATATTGGGAATTGGGATGATTAGTACTATTCAAATAACCCCAACTGTTTGGGGGATGTCAATCTCGAGGGGATTATGATGAGGCGGTGGAGGGGCTGTACCTGAAGACCGGAGAGGCGGCAGGAGGGAGCTGAGAGCGAGGGCAACGAGTATACCTACAATTGGGGGTGGGGTGGGGTGGGGTGAAGGAGGCAAAGGTGGAGAATAAGGAGAGAGGACAACCTCATCCGTAACCTCGTCCAAAATATGAGTAGGGCGAACACTAGAAGGAACGGGAGTGGAAGCCTGCAAAGTAGGGTTAGTACTAAACAAAGGGAGATCCTCACAAAAAGTAATATCCAAAGTGTGGTGAAAGTGACGAGACACAGGATCAAAACACCTATACCCTTTTGACATGGAAGACTACCCCAAAAAGACAACAAATAGACCTGTCATCTAACTTGGTACGAACGGGACTCCGATCCTGAACAAAACAGGTACATCCAAAGACACGGGGTAGGAGAGGAAATGGAGTAGTGTGGGGCATAAGAACATGAAACGGAGTAAGACCCTGCAACACATGACTAGGGGTCCTATTAATAAGATAGACAGCGGTGAGGACAACTATATGCCAATAAGACTTAGGGACACTCATACCACGAAGGAGACACCGCACAATAGACATAATATGATGATTTTTACGTTTAGTTACACCATTTTACTCAGGAGTTCATGGACACGTAAGTTGTTGAATAATACTAGTATGATTAAGATGGGAGCGAAAAGCATTGGAAATATATTCTCCACCATTATCAGAACGGATATTCATGATAACTGTACGAAACTGAGTCTTAACCATTTGCAAAAACTAAACAAAAATGGGAAACACGTCAGACTTACAACGAAGCAAATATACCCAAGTGCATCTAGTGTGGTCATCAATAAAGGTGACATAATATCAATGGCCAGAAAAAGCAGGAACAAAAGACGGACCCCAAATATCAGAATGTATAAGGTCAAAAGCACTAGGGACACGAGTCATATGAGGTATGTAACTGGTACGAGTATGTTTAGATAATTCACAAACCACACAATGAAACTTAAAATCTTTGCAAGCTTTATTTAATAAGAGAAAAAGTTGACATAAGTATTGAAAATTGACATGACCCATACGTGCATGCCACAATTCTAAAGTTTGAACATTAAAAACACAAGATATAGAAGCAAACAAAACAGATGCCTGGAAACTAGCTAAAGTAGAAGGAAGTTGGTCTGGTGGATCCCCAAAGTAGTAAAGTCCATCGCGCTCATATTTCCTGCCAAAAATCCTTTTCGAACTCAGGTCCTATAACAGACACGACAAGGTAAGAAAATAATAGCACAATTGAAGGACTTGGCAAGCCGACTAATGGATAGTAGATTATATGCAAAATAAGGAATATGCAAAACAGAGGATAGAGTAATATTAGGAAATAAAGACACTTGACCCTTATGACGAATTGAGGATAAAGACCTATCAACAAGACAAACAGATTGGTCTATAGTAGTAGGAAATGGAGATGAAAGAAGGGAAAATTCACCCGTCATATGATCATTAGTCCTAGAATCCAGAACCAATGATGGACCAGTAGACCGAACATGAAAAACAGTAGAAGTACCTATAGCGAGAGTTGTAGTAGTAGTAGTAGTAGTAGTAGTAGTAAAGGAGGATGAGCCAGAAGAACTAGTAGTCAAAGTCCCAAGTTGAGTTTGAAGCTGGCCAATTTGAGTCTGTAACTGCTGTAAAATAGGAATATTTGGAAACCTAGAAGCATGAGAGGCCTCCACTAAAGCAGTAGTGCGAGGTGTGCTAGAACCACGAGGGCGAGAAGATTGTTGCCTTAACTCAGGATGAAGTTTGAAGCAGCGAGCCTTGACATGACTAGGAGCGCCACAATGATGACAGGCAATTGAACCAGTGGAATCCCGGGAACTAGAGTTTGCGGCAAAGGCCATCTGTTCAAACAAGATATGAGTCACTAGAGTAGTGGTTTGTGAAACCAAATGCTGATGACGCTCATCACTATCAATGGTGACACAGGCCTCATAGAGGAATGGCATGGACAACGTGTTTAAAATCTGAGTTCGAAGAGATTCAAATTCAGAGTTTAAACCCATCAGAAATTGTTAATGTGTTGCCAGGCAAGGCGGATGGACACGAGTGGTGACGTCTGCTGGTAACTTAGTCAAGGGCTCATATTGAGCCAATTCCTTTCAACGAGCCTAAAGGTATCCAAAAAATTCTGACACAGAGAGACCCAAAGCAGACTGGGAGGCACGAGCAATGTCTTGATAGAGCTCAAAGATGAGAGCATCATTATAAGCATGGGAATACATCTAAGACAAGGCACGCCAAAGACTCAAAATAGTGTCGCAATAAAGAAACATCTGGTAAATATGGTCTTCCATGGAGTTGAACATCCATCTTAGAATAGTGTAATTATCTGTATTCCACTTGGCACGTGTAGGATCAGTCGTTGCAGGCTGAATAGAAGATGAGAGCCAATGGGTCTTTCCCTTTTCCCTTCCCCTTAAATAGATTTTAAGGGAGCGGCCCCAAGCGGCAAAATGTTTCCCATTCAACAACACACTCGTAATGCAATGAACAAGAGTGTGATGAGAAAGAGAAAAATCAGAAGTCACTGATACAGGTTTGGCGGGCATATTGGAATCAACATGGGATAGGGTAGTCATAGTGGATTAATAAGGGCTAGAAAACACAAAATCACAGTAACATAATCTAGAAAAATACAAAAAATCGAAAAAAACTCAACGGTTAATCCAAATAAATGTTACCGAACAAATCTGGTAGTCTACTAAATAAAAAAGGCCAAAAAGTGCTTAATTCATCAGCACCACACCCTAGAAAGGGGAAAAAACAGGGATTGAATTGCCCTAGAAGAGTTGCTGAAGCATCTATGGCCAGGAAACACCCTGGTCGACAGCACTAGGGCAGCCTACCGAGGGGTGTAGGGGGTTGGGTAGGTGGTTTTGGGGGGTCTAGGCTGGTTGGATGGGGCTGTCGGGTGAAATAAAGGGCTAGAAGAGGACTGTCAACACTCAAAGAGGAAGGAAGAAGATGTGACAGTGGCTGGCCAGAGAACTAGGTTTCTGTGCACTGGCTCTGATACCAAAAAGGATGAAAAGAATGATTTGGCTTACCCATGAATGAGGTGGATGCCATGTATATATAATAGATTTATGATATAATTTAAAAAACGATATAAATAAGGAAACAATACTAAATCAATAATTGACACAATCACAGATTATATATATAATACTAAAAATAAAGAGATTCTATGTACTCTAATTTCTATATTCAACATAATTTTGGTTTCTTTTGATGATTGTTTTAATACCATGCGACTTTGATAAAAGAATAATCTCAATGCATTAATCCATAACCTCTATATTGCAAGAGTTAAATTATATTACTTTAGTAAATAACAAAACCTAATAACCCTAATAACGAGTGTCATGACCTCGAACCCGCCCCTAGAGATTTAGGTCATGATCGGCTAGTAATCGTAGATTACCTATGGCCTCTATAACAAATACAAATTGTTTATTAATAAACGAGGCTTAGCGGAAGCAATTAACAATAATAAATTGAGTCCATTGAGCTGTGCTTATATAATATATACCCATTTGCATCCCACAGTTCGTTTGCCCTTAGGTAACTCTATCAATTCCCAAGTGTCATTCTTATGAAGTGCTTTCATCTCTTCAATCATGGCATGTTTCCACTCATGGGTGGTAAGAGCATCTTGAAAATGATTAGGTATACTAACAGAGGAAATTTTTGACACAACGACTCTATATAAGGGAGACAAATTAGAATGGGATACAAAATTAGAGATAGGATGTTGAGCACAAGACCTCACACCGTTCCGGTGGGCAATAGGAATATCAAGATTTGAGTATTCATATTCAGGGTTATCAGAGTGATCTGGACTCTTATCATTTGAAGTAGATGACAGTGAAAGATCAAGAGAAGTGGTCTCTTGGATCCAAGTAAGCTTGTCTTTCTTTGTTCCTGACATAAACTTTTCCTTGCTCCTTGAGTGTATCAACTTCTGTATTCCCAATAGTTGGTTCACATTGTGGTTCACATGCTATATCCTCAACAACTGGTAAGGATTCAGAAATAGGTAATACTCCTATGCCAGGAATCTCTTCACACCAAGGTGTCCCTTGAAGGGATGATTGGGAAATTGGAGAGGGCAAGAAGTAGGACTATGACTCAAAGAATGTGACATCCATGGATATAAACAATTTACAAGGAGTGCAAGGGGTTTTGGTGATTCTTGCATTTCACAACCCCATTTTGCTGAGAGGTTTTGGTGCTAGATGTCTGATGAATAATGCCATGAGCGTTGAAATATTTCCCTAACACCGAATCAATGTACTCACCCCCATTATGAAAATGCAGAATTTTGACAATCCCAAATTGAGTGCGAATCATCTAATGAAAGTTTGGAAATACAGAGAAAACCTCACTCTTTTCTTTTAGTACATGCACCCAAGTAGTGCAAGAAAAAGCGTCAATGAAGGTGACAAACCATTTATGGCCTTTTAATAAAACAACATGAGAAGGACCACAAACATCAGAATGAATCAATGAAAAAGGAATGAAACTTTTATTAATACTTGGAGCAAAAGAAGCTCGGTGTTGTTTGCCAAGTTAAAACATTATTGTTATAAAAGAAGAAGGAAACAAATGCTTAAGTAATAAAAAAGATGGATGTCCCAGACGCCGACGCCAAAGCCAAATGTCATAATTAGTGGTTGGAGATTGGATGGTATGATGTGCCAAGTGATCTGCCTAATCTAAGATATAGAGAGCATTCTTTGCTCTACCACTGCCAATCATTCTCCTCATAATAAGGTCTTGAAAAAGACAAGAAAAAAAGGTTACACAACAATTCAAATCTTGAGTAAGACAACTCAATGATAGAATATTAATAGAGAAACTGGGAACATGTAAAACTGATGACAAAGATAAAGATGTGGCATGGATTAAACCTTTCTTAGATATAGAAGAAATGGTACCATCATCAATCCTAACTTTGTCCTGACCTGAAGAGGGCTTATATTCCGAGAAAAGATCAGAAGATCCAGTCATATGATCCGAGGCATCAGAATCAATTATCCAAGGCAAAGATTTATGAGATAGGAAAGCACTTGTAGAAGAGGAAGATGCACTGGAAGGAGCAGTGGAAGTCCGGTGGTCTATCAAGTGATGCAGAGCATCCTCAAATTCAGAAAAAGAAATACCCTATACATCATCAGTAGACTGAACAGCTGGAGCAGAGTTGTGTATCAACTGCACCAGAATGATGGGTACGTAGGTTAAACCCACATCCTCGATCCTGTCCAGATTGACCCCCTGGACCACCAAAGCAGTCACCATGACCCCCAGATATAGTACCTTAAAGCTTCCAACATGTCTCACGAGTGTGTTTAGGCCGGCAACAGTAGTCACAAAACAAATGATCCTTCTCAGAAGGATGGCATGAACCACGAGACAGAGGTAGGAGGAAGCATAGCTGAACGACAACTCTCCTCATTCTGTATATAAGCGAACTCTTCTTGAAGGGAAGGAAGAAATTCATGCCATGAAAGTAACTCCTAACAGGATCAAACTCCACATTAAGGCCTTCCAGAAACTTGAAGACTCTTTCCTGTTTAATAAATTTGCGGTACCCCACAGAATCCGTTGGACAAATTGGTTTGTAGTCTTGAAGGTGATCTAGATGTTTTCAGCCATTACTAAGGAAAGTGAAGTACTGAAGGATGGTCATCTCTCCCTATACCGAGTGCTCAATCGAGTGGCGCAACTTAAAAGTCTGTGAGAAATTTCCTTTCTGGGAGTAAGTAGTGGCCACATCATCCCAAACATTCTGGGCCGTCTCCATAGACAAGTAGCCCTCACCAATATCAGGAACCATGTAATGGATGAGTCATCCCATAATCAAAGAATTGGTAATCTCCCATTGGTCATAACCAGGATTAGTGATATCTGGTGCTTGGACTCTCCTGTCAACATAACCTATCTTCCCCTTATTCTTCAGAAAAAGTGTCCAACACTACGACCACACAAGGTAATTTTGGCCGTTAAATAGAGAGGTGGTGATTTTGAGGTTAGGATTCTGGTTCTTAGATGTAGTTGTCATAATGTGACTCCCCTTCAGGTGGGTGACATGTAGTGGTAGATTCACTAGACGGGTCAGCCATTTATACTCTATTTTCATAACCAAAAACTGCACTAATCACAACTATGGCAAGATGGAATGGACTGAACTGGAACAAGCAATATCAAACACAGACCACTATGGGAGCATAACAATGAGATTAATGGGGCCATATAATGACCCAAAGAATTAAATCAAATAAAGAGGACTGAACCCCCAATCAAAACAAGGGCTGAACTATTCTCAAGAAGAAAGGAATAACTTGCTTGAAGTGAGGAATAGAGTTGTAGATGGACCAACCAAACCATATAGTGCTCCGGATGATGAACAACCCTAAAAAAAACATCTATAATTGCTGGAAAAACACAGAGAGGCTGCGGCTGTTGTCGGGTGGGGTTTAAGCCTTTTTACCATTATGTGCTTTTCTACTTAATAATGTGAAGTTCTTAGACTTACTCATTTTCATTCTTCTTTTTTATTGATGTGTTTAATCTGAGTTGTTGTACTCAATCCTTTTAATTTAGGGTAAATTACAAATACACCCCCTGATTGTATGGTTTGGAAAATTACAAATGCCCCCTAGTCAGAACTTTTTATTCTACAAAATTAATTAAAAAAATAAAATTCATAATTGCTATTCTATATTATAATTAAATTACATGAATTATTTATTGAAATATAATTATGACATTATTAAAAACTGTTAATTGACTTGATGATTTATTAATAAAAAGGGGCCATCTGTCATGAAATTAGAAACTTCAAGGGGCAGTATGTAATTTCTAGAACTAGATGGGCAATTCGTATTTTAAGCAAACCTCAGGGGTGTATGTAATTTATCCTTTAGTTTATCCATTATGATGATTTTATTTTGTAGGTTAGTTTCTATTACATAGCTTGACCTTGTGTAATGATAATGGCAGTTATATTGCACAGAGATATGCCAGTTAATATTTCTTAGTTTTTAGCTATTTTCATTCGATGACATTACTCGCTATAACAGGATTTCTCATAATTGCTATAAATAACAGGTACACAGCTCTTACTGCTGTGAGGGATACCAGTCATTTTTCTTAATCTCTCGTTTCACTTCACGAAATTTAATGTATAAAGAGAAATAGAGAATTGTATTATTGATTGACTTTTATTGATGATACATATATTTTTCCTATTGGCTAGATATGTTGATTGTGGCAACTGAATTGGGTGTATATGGCTCCTGAGTGTGGGGTCATGCAATCTGATAATTGGGATTCTTGTTTCTTTTCATGTGCAAATAACTTGCTGCTTTTTATCCTCCATTGTGCAGGATGCTCACCATTCCCTTATTGATGATTCTGAAATTCTAGTTGATTATAACAGACAACAGTTGATGCCGGGGTGGATCCCAAGAAGGCTAGGTTAGTTAAAAACCTTTTCTGTCCTTGAAACTTTATCATTTGCTTAGATCAGTTTTGATGTCATGTTTGTTGACAGGAGGTGGCCTTGGTGGTAAGAAGGAATCAGGACAGCTTCGCTTTGGTGGACGAGAAAGACCATTTCGAGCTCCCCTGTATGCATCCATTCTTTTCTATAGTTCATTGAATTATTGGATGATTATGCTTTGCAACATTTCTATGTCCATATTTGAAATATTGTATGTTGTTCATTTTTGTGCCAAGCAGGGGCACAATACTAGTACAGGAAAAGTATATTGAAGTTAAAAGTTTAAGCTCTGTGCTCAAAAGAAGAATCCCCTATAAAATCTGTAGGGTTGTGTTTGGATTATGGATTCAAGTAGGGATTTGGAAATGGAAAGGGAAAGGAAAAACTTCAAAGAAATTTGATCCTAGAAATTTTCATGATATCCAAAATTGGAATATACTCGACATGTTGCTATTTAGTTCATGGGGTAGCTTCTCAACCTCCTCAAATGTATATCTTCTCCTATTCATCCAAATACTTGGATATGCCATAATGGTGCCACTTTCCAAGCTAACCTAGTGGTGTAGGACCAAGAGCTAGAAAGAAGAAGAATAAAGAAGAACAAGAATCGTGGATTTCCAATCCCAAAATACTCCCAATATCAAAACTCGATTCAGTATTACTCATCAAAGTCTAGCTCCAAACATTACATAAAGCCATATTTATAGGCATTGTAGAAAACCCTAATTAGCATTACTAAAAATAAAATCCTACCATAATTAAACTCTTAAATGAATTAAAACTTATAAAATAAATAAAATAATCTTTAGTTGTGTCTTCCGTTCCTCATCATTTCTCCCTGACTAAAAAGAACTCTCCTCCGGAGAGTTACGAAGATAAAAGTACTTGATGAGATGAAACTTGTGCTGGAGAAATAGTTTTGTAACCCATACAGCATGTGAGCAATGAAGTACTTCCCCAAGCCAAATAATAGTACCAAAAGTCTGCACTTGGAGGAAGATGCACTGGCGAGCAACACACTGATGTCGACAAATTGTCTAGGCTGGAAGAAACGTAAGACCTTGCGTTGCTGGTAGAACATGGACTACTCTTGTAGAAGTATCAAAGAACACAGCAAGAGGCTCCAAGGTGCCCCGATAAGATAATCATATGAAAAATTGAACCAATATTAACATTTAATGATTAGTCTATAAAACATGCATTTGGTCCAGATACAAGAATGGCTAGACCATGTACATTCATGTTAATGTGTAATATGTGGATGGAGGAGCTTGAGATACAGTAGAAACAACAATCCCTTGACTACGAAAATAATCAATAAAATTCACAAGAGAACTTGTGTTAGTAAGAAGAGAATCATGGAAAACCCCATAGGGGTTGGCCGAGCCGTAAAGACTTGAGGATAAAATCTAAAGTCTTGAGTTTGAGTCACTCGGAAAGGCCACTGGCGGTTTCCCCGGTCGTTAACTTCAAGACCCAAGGATTAGCTGAGGGAGCAAGCTGGCCCAGACATTTAATTATCAAAAAAGGAAAAGAAAAGAGAATCATGGAAAGACTTAGAATTAACAGGTGGAGGAGAGGAATGATCAACATGACTAAGTGAACTCTCTACATTACACAAAGGCTTAGGAGTGACTAACTTAGGAGAAGTAGACTCAAGAGTTGGATTGTAGAGTTCCATATCAAGGAGAGCTGTTTGAGGCAAAGTAGAGTCCAAGGGAGAAGAAGGCCTAACATTTGGCTCAGGTTCTTTATTCACTTTAGGATGTTGAAAACCCGAATAAAAAATGTCGGTATGGTAAGGCCTTGCATCTTAGGGGTGTATTCTCCCAAAGGTTTAGGGATCAAAATCTCTTAGGTGCTAACAATTCCTTGGGGCTATTGGACTGGGGAGAAAGCCCTTGAATTAACTATGGTACACTTGCGGGAAACTTGCTGAGGGCCTGTGCACTCCTGGGGATTAGTCGGGCTTATATCCACCCCAGTGGCAATCAAAAAAAAAAAAGATTTAATGTGTTGATGACTAGATGAAGTGACTATACATTTTCCTAAGATTAACTCACTTTGGCTCAGAGGGGACAAATATGGATTACTTAAGATAGGAGAGGAAGACCCAACAGTTCCCTTTTCGGAGGATTCTTCACATTTACTAGGTTCTGGAGTTGAGGATTTTCTTTTAGGTCTTACATCTCTTGCTGTAGGCTTAACAACCTTATTTTCTAGTGACCATCCCTAACAATATAGCTATTCTTCCTAACAAAGTATTGGGTATCTACATCATAAATCCAAGGCCGATCGAGGAGCACATGACCTACATTTATGGGTAAGACATCACATCATTTTTGTTGAATGACAACCCAACTGAATGGGCACTAGACAATAGGGATGTGCACAGGTTGAGTTGGATCGGTTGTACTGTTAATCCGTCACCCGACCTGATTAGATTGGGTGAGATAAGAGTCACCCGTTTCCGACCAATGTATGGTTCAAAATTTCTCAAATCGGGTTAATCAAGTTGGCGGTCAGATTGGACGAAACAAAACTCCATTTGACAACCAAAAGAGAAAAGAAAAAATCTATATTCATTCATCACCATTTTACAGATTTGACTTTGGTGGTTGAATGTCACGATCCCATCTCTCCCCAAACAGGATAGTGTAGCGATAGGTCAGTAGTCATGGACTACCAAAGGCTTGACTTTTAAAACAAGTTGGACTGCTAAAATAATTAGGGCAAATTTTCCATTGACAAGTGCGGAAGTCATTATTTTCTTATATTGAGTCTATTTAAAACATCGTGCATAACTAGATGTAATGAAAGCATACATTCCTCTGGATTATTATTTTGCTATATTACATGATCTATACGACAAAAGTAAAATACAACACTTATGACAAATCTTTACAAATCCAGCACAAACATACAAGACCGGCTTCTGTTCAAACTTCTCGTCATAACCCGGCTCTTCGTCACCTACATATATATATCAGGGAGAGGGGTGAGGCATTGACCAGTGAATAGTAATATAGTAAAGCAGTAAATAAATGAACATCAGTAAGCTTTATAAAACAAATTACAAGAATCATAGTTTGAGCATAGCTTAACATGAGTATAACACTACAAGACTTGGATTTCAAACAAGATACATAGAGATGAACATTTGAAGGATTCTTGAGCATCAAGGTGTTATTGGCATGAGTCCTGCAATAACTAGGACATAACAAGATGTTATTGGCACGAGTCCTCTAATAACTAGGGCATATTCCAAGGGTGTCATCTTCATACATGATACAAGAGTATATGATGTTCATTCATGATAAAACATTAATATAGCTTTCATAAACATTAATATAACAAGGGGTGACTATTGGTTCTATGGTTAAGATTTGGCCTAATAACCTTGAAGTTATGGGTTCATGTCTTGAGACCATCACTTTGTGCATTATGCCAAAGGTTAGGTATGTACTCAATTTTTCCCCTCCCAAACACACATTAATGTGTACAAATTGGGCCTTTTTTATTTTTATTTTTAAATGTAGCATAGATTTTGTATTTCAAATCATAGCTTTACTACACTACTACTCACAAATGGCTCTTGAACAAGGGTTTCTCCTCCAACTTGCTTGACCTATACAAAACATGAACGAGACATTGAAAACATCTTAACTTGCAAGTCCTTAAACTAACTTAAGGGTTCTAAGTTAGCTTAACATTTTCTAAAGGATTTCTAGTTCCAACTACAGTCTTATCTAAATGTTGACAAGTGTAAATCATGTACCAAAGACGAAGGGTCCTAAGTATTCTATAACAATTTCATACGTTTTGCATTGAAAAATATCATGTTTAGATGTTTAAGGTTTGAGGAAATAGGAAGAAATGAAAGAAAACTAAGTTAGGAAAGGAATTAGCATGAAATGGTTAAGAAGAAAGTAAGCATCTTTCACTAATTTAAACGTATATCTTTGTATACTCGGAATTTGGATGTGAAACCACCACCATTAGAAACTATACTTCCGAGACTTGAATTTAGACTAAAAAATCACTAAAAACAGAGTCCAGATGAAAAAGATATGCTCATTCGGAGTTGCGTGGCATGAAAGACATGAAAGTGGGCAGAAACAGAGGTGACGCACGTGTGGGGCCTTGGGCCTTACGTGCTGCCAGCTGCAGAATGTTTTGGTTGCTGGCAAAGTTGGGCCGTACGTGCGGGAGTTATGGCCGCACGTGGGGATGGCTGCTTCAGTGCAGTCCGAAATTCTTCTCTTGTTCTTGCGTAGCTCTTTTCAATTTCGTGGCTTGGGGCTTTGAAAGTTCATTGAAAAACATTTAAAACTAATAGGAAAACATGGAAACATGACTCTTTTCAAAGCTACAAGATCAAAACATAGTTTGTTTTCAAGATTTAAGAATCAAAACACAAGATTTGTTGAAGAATTTTTCAACCCTGACTGTTACCCAAACCTTTCTGTTTCTTTATTCAAAGCATAAATTCAAACTTGTAAAACTCTTGGAAATCAAATAAAAACATGAGGGTTTAGCTTCCTACACAACAAGAACATCAAAATCATGATTAAAATAGCAAGAATTCTCATTACCTAGCTTGTTCTTTCTCTTGTTCGTCTTTTCTTTTTTCCTTCTTCCATAACTTCATTATTAACCCAAATTAACACTTAATTTCTCAATTTTAAGTGTTAGGAGGGATTATTACGAGAATTAGGGCTTAAATCTTACCTTAGAATAATCAAAGGATGAATTTTGATGAATTTTTTGAAGCTCTCCCCTCTTCTCTTCTTCTTTCTTATTTCTTCTCCTTCCTTCTCATTTCTTCTAACTCTATCTCCTCCAGCAGATTTTTTTCTTCTCTTGAATTCCTTGATTTGGTCTTCTTTAAAGGTAAGACAAAAGGTAGCAAAGAGGTGGGACAAAAAGGGAGGTGTATGCATCACCTACTTGTTTGCTTTATCAAATTCCGTAATCTTCATCATTAGTTTAATTAATTAATCTTAGTTATAGTTAATCAAGATTATGTTAGCATATTATATTAGCCGAAAGTTTCACTAAGGTCAGTCTGTAATCATTTTGTGCCCTCAGGAATTATCTTGTAATTGACTTTCTTATAAACCCTAATCTTCATTTATAAATAGGGGGTGATATTCTATCATACCCTAAGCTGGTTACTCAAGCTTCATGGTATTAGAGCAGCACCTCTAGGGTTTCGGCTCACCCTCGTTGGTAGACCTTTCCACCAACGACACTCTAGGGTTCGAAGCTTACTTGGGTGGATCATCACTCAGCCGTCAGCTCGTCTTCCTCACCTCGTCGATCTCCTCAGCTCGCCTTCCTCGCCTTCCTCTGTCGTCTCCCTCACCTCGTCGATCTCCTCGCCTTCCTCTGTCGATCGTCACTCAGCCGTCAGCTCCTCAGCTCGTCGATCTCCTCCAGTCATTAGTCGCTCGTCGTCATCATCCTCAGCCTCTGTCTCACTGTGGTATGATCTCAGCCTTGGTATATATAAATATATATATATATATCCTGATATATATATAAATATAGCCTGTTATATATATTTATATATAAATACATGTATACATAAATAAATCAATATATATATATATATATATAAAAAAAAACAAATCAAAAACAAAAAAAATAAAATAAAATATGATTTCTTAATTTTGTTATGTCTTTATAGTGGTCATTGTGCCTCTCTCTACAAAAGTTTCAAACACAATGGTACTTTCGAACATCAACAAAATGTAGAAGAGTGAAAAAAAGTCAAAACTGAACAGATTTAAAGTTTAATACGCTAATCTTACTATGAAAAGCACGATTTACCTCGTATGACTCGTTTTTTCGATGGTAGAGTGATGAACTCCTTCAATATATCTCAAATAGATGACAATGGAGCTTCAATCTCTGGTTTGAACTAGGGTTTTCAGTTGAGGGTTTTGGAACATAGTGTATCAACAGGGACAACTATTCGAATTGTCGGTTTGTCCTCTTCAACTGCCTCTTATATGCTATATATATGAGGGGTATTTTAGTCTTTCACCTTAATTTTTTAATCGTAAGGGGGTTTTGCCAACAATATTTTTTTTGCTTGTCCTTTTCACTAATAGGGGGTTTTGGCCAAAAATCCCAAATTAAATAGGGTTTATGAAAAATATAAAATTTCTTATCTCTCATTTATGTGAAAGGCTAGAAATGTTTCTTTATTAGCAAATGTGAATATCTTTTTCAATTATCATAAAAAAAAATTGAGGATCCAAGTATCTAAATTGGGTACAAATATCAAACACATATCTACCACCCTTACCCTTGACATATTCAATGGACACAGTACTTTGATTTAAAAAAAAAAAAAAAAAATAGAGTTCATGTAACACAACAACTTATACATATAACATCATCAAAAAGTGCCAAACTATACACTATGATATATATAATTATTTAACAATGCAATACATCATGAAATTGTTTTCTTGATATATATTATATACTACTAAAAATTATTTTTTGGCCCACATGACATCATCCTACCACATGGACCACCTAGATTGAATTGTACATTGGATGGATCATGGTGATGGTTCCACCAAGTCATTCTAATTTCAAAGTGCAAGACCCTCCATCTATTTAATTCACCTTTGGCAATAGAATAAAACCAAGAGATCCAAATGAGTGGGGCTCCCTTTCAATCCATGCTATCTACATGGATAGACAATGCGGATCAGCCACCAATTTCATAAAACTCTTCATGAACTTTTTCACCCATGAAGTTATCATCATTTACTTCCCCTCCTAAAACTTTGGTTATCCATTATTCATACAATCAAACTAATCAATTTTCCAAACTTGTATGTAGTATACTCCTGAAGAAATAAATTACAATTATAAAAATTATTATTAACATCATTTTGCTTAGAAATCTTTCTAGGGGGTGCTAGTGGCATATTAGTGAATAATGCAAAATATTTTATATAACCATGTTTTCCATCAATTTTATGTAGTACAGCTATTCATTTTGAGGCTCACCTCATTTGTAATCCTGGGGTGTTAACTACATGGATTGAAAGATAACCCACTGGATGAATTAAAGCCCCACCAGATTTTGTTTAATTATTTAAAGCATACCTCATCATCCATGCAGTAAAATCCTGGATGTTAAAATGATAATTGACACGCAGGTGTGTGTGAACTTTTATGGATCAAATTATTGTTGCGTGATCTAGGTATTGATCAGACGGACTCCATGCGGTTATACTGTGATAATAAGGCCGCCATCAACATCGCTCACAATCCAGTTCAACATGACAGGACAAAACATGTTGAGATTGATCGCCACTTCATTAAGGAGAAACTCACTAGTGGTACCATTTGTACTCCTTTTGTCCAGTCTGGTGAACAACTTGCTGACATTCTCACCAAGGGGATTGGGAATAAACCATTTCATGACATATTAGGCAAGCTGGGCATGAGAGATATCTTCGCACCAGCTTGAGGGGGAGTGTTAGCATATTATATTAGCCGAAAGTTTCAGTAAGGTCTGTCTGTAATCATTTTGTGCCCTCAGGGATTATCTTGTAATTGACTTTCTTGTAAACCCTAATCTTCATTTATAAATAGGGGGTGATATTCTATCGTACCCTAAGCTGGTTACTCAAGCTTCAGATTAGTCTTCTAATTAATCGAGGTTTGACTTAATCTGACTTAGCTTAATTAATGGTAATCCCGCATAGTTTCTAATGAAATGTTAATTAAATTGTATTCATTAGATTAAGATAATTAAGCTCCTCGCTTAAGGTTTCTTAGGTGATCTAAATATTCAATATTCACTTCAAAATCAATTCCCTAACTCTATGTCATTTATCAACTTCCACACCAAGGTTATACTTCCAAATTATCTTAGGTTTTTCATCAATCATAAGTATCCTTAAGTCCCTTCTTCGAGTGTACACTCTCCCTCAAAGTTTTCTAACTACTCGTTACTATGCCTTAACCTTAAGTATTTGTGTAATGAAATGGTTAATTTGGCTTAGGGTATTCAAGGATGGATAATATTATGGTTATGGCACGTGGCATTCTATGGGGTGTTACATTGAATTATCCCAATCATCTCATCAACAAATCTAAAAAAAACTAAAAAATCATCTCACTTTGGTCTCTATTTGTGGAATAATTATCTCATGAACAATAAATCTGGAAAAAAAAAATTTGCAAAGGTGAAGGAAAGAGGGAGCAGAGATTCAATGCCCCTGTGTCCATGTGAAAAGAGGGAGACGATGAGAGGTTTGAAAAAGAGAGATGCAGACGAGAGAGTGGGGTGAGAGAGACTGAAATGAGAGGCTGGGTGAGAGAGGGAGAAACGACAAAGAGGAGAGAGAGAGAGAGAGACAAGAGGGTGAGGCTATGTGTGAGATAGAGAGAGAGAAGAGCTGGTGGGGTTCAGTAGAATATGAAAGAGGGAGAGAGGACAGAAAGTAGAAGAAGATGAGCAGATTGGGAGATATGGGTGAGGGTGAAATCTTGGGAGATGAAAGGTTTGGTAGGTGAGCATCAGATCTTTTTTTTGACTATAGAGAAAGTCAAATCTTGGGAAGGTAAAAATCTGGAGAATGACAGAGTTATGTTTGATGAAAAGGTGTTTTGAGAAGATAAAATATTAGTAACTAAAATGAAATTTATTTGAAAATGAATTGAAGTTATGCACGTATATAACATTTTTGGTCGGGTTGGGTTATATTGATTTTTTCTATTTAAACCAATATCCGATCGACATTTGGAAAAAAATCATCACTAGCAACCTTAGCCGACCACGTGGATGGGCGAAACTGCCCATTTGCAATCTGGTTGGGTCGGTTAGATCGGGTCTTCAGGTAGTTTGGATTTTTGCACATCCCTACTAGACAATACTCAGAAACAAGCAAAGATGTCTTATCTATCCATGCAATCTTATATAGTTGAGGATGAAGTTTTGGATTAAGGTTGAACGTTGCGATGTGTCACGACCTTGGTTATTTTCAAGCACTCCGTGCAACACTACACTCACAAGCTTGGCTAGTGATACTAAGTCAACCTAACCCTTAGTGAACAAGAGGGAAGATTAGCGGACACAAGAGGGTTTGAGAGAATACTCTTGTATTACGAGTACACAGAGATCTTACACTCAAAGTTGGATGTCAAGTGGGTTGTGAGGCAAATGAGCCTTCAACTCTTATATAGGCAACCTAGCCCTCTAGGAACTATCTTGGACCCTTATTGATTATGGTGTGGAGAAGCTTGATGGAGCCTTCTACCACCTTACTAGAATAATCTAGAACCTATTCTAGAATCAAAGAAAAACTATTTGTCATTGAAGTAGAGCGATAAAAATATATACACACAGACTATTTCTTCATTTTATATGCGTATTTTCATATTTTGTTTGACTTGAGATTCAGTAATCTTTTGATATGTACATTCTAGACTTATGTACAAATGTTCCTTCATTCTCTTAAGTCTTCGAAGAAGCTCTAGAATCTTCTTTTGGCCTCCAATCCTTTAACCCTTCTCTTATTAGGCAACTTTATGTAGGCAACTCAGAGAGATGTGCCACTCTCCCCCACCTATGCTTGCGACGCCTTTGTCGCGTCTTCTTTGCTGAAGCTGCTAGTCTTCTCCTTGACTTGTCTCTCATTGGATTTGTCTTGTCCACTCGCCTTGTCAATGGTTTAGCAACTGTGCATGTTGGTGGATTGTTCTTTGTGGAGTCGGTTGTCTTAGTGTACAAAGGGAGTGAATTTTGCCCAATGGCTGGCTCAAATAGGCTCCCATTGATGGATTGTTCTTAGTTTGTTCGTTTGCTTTTTCTCTCTCTCTTTTTTCTTTTTTTTTTTCTTCTCATTTTTGTCCCGTGTTGGGGGTGAAAACCAAGCTTCATTTATGAAGATAAAAGGAAGAAAGAAAATTGTGAAGCCCATTGCTACCAACTAACATCTTGGTCTATGCTCGTTTTTAAAAACTGGGACTAATGTAACATGTATATCTCTTCCATAATCAGGCGACCAATCCCCTGGGATGATTTGAAAAAACTTGGGATCCCGCCTCCTCCGGAAGGACGATACATGTCACGCTTTCAGGTACACCTTTCTTCCCAAATCATTTATTGGCTATGGCAACAAACTGTAGCAAAAACATTACTAATGCTCTTGAACATTTTAGCTCCCTCAAATGAACTGCATCGTTGCTTGCTTGTGCTGTGTGTGGGCACAAGTGAACACCTGAACTTTTGCTGCAAAATTTCATGAGTTTTCAATGAAGTCATGACATTTTTGGAAATGCCCCTATTTTTCTGGCCTTTGTTGCTATCACTAGTAGTTGAATTTGTTCACGGCAATTTCTGATTAATTTTGTATTCTAAAACTAGCTTCTTGTTAAAACCTGACCTTGAATTCATTACAAAGCCCTTTTTGTAAATGAGACAAATTTTCATTGTTTGTTAATGGCTGGCTGTAGGTTGCATCACCACCTCGAAGAAAAAGGAGCTATGTGGACAAAGATGAACAAACTCACAGGCGCCACAGACATAGTAAACATTCTGGTCGACATGAGAGAAGGTCCGCTAGCCGTGATCCCACTTCCGATGACTAGCTTGTATAAACTTGTGATGTGTAAGCCTTGATTAATGGTGTTATGCAGCAGGGAGGGACGTAGAATCATTTTTCATTTTCTTTTTTGAGGAAAAAAAAATGCCAAATATGACCAAATACTTTAGCTCATTTTGCTGAGTTCTGGATGCATCATATGTAATTCTATTTTCAAGTAGAGGGAAAAGAAAAGTGAAGAGATTTGTGGGGGGAAAACAAAAACACTGATATTTTATTTACAAATGCTTACATAAATCTAAGATCTAAACACACTCTAAGACCATCTCTAGTATATCTTCTTGTTTCAAACTTGCCAATATCGTATTTTAGCATTCTATATTGTCAAAATGTCATATTTTAATAGATACATTTGAGCAGTACATATGTTATTATTTAGCTTGATCACTATATAATTTAATTTCTACCATATGATACGATCGTGTGTATCTAATTAGATGTATTCACAAAGTTGTTAAATTTAACTTCAATTAAAAACAACATACTCTAATAATTAATATTTATAAAACTTTCAATTCATTAATTTAATTCGAGTTTACATGAAATAAATCAATTAAAACACATAATCATGGAGAAGGAAAAATAACATAGTATTGAATATTTGTCGTCAAGACAAGGAAAGCAAAATTGTCATTAAATTGTATTTTGAATATTTTTTAATAAGATAGTTAATATTTTTTTTAAAAAAATATTATTTTTATATTAATTTATTGAATATGTATTTTAAAAAATGAATGTGGCATAGATACTTTTTGGGGACAATATTATAAAATAATATTATAAAATTTTAAGAGTTAGTTAAACACGCATCATGTTAAAATTGGCCAATTTCTTTGTTTGGGGCATTTTCAAAATTTTAATCCCACTTTAGGGTGTGTTTTTATCTTTATTCTCAAAGTAGGGTAAAACAGTTTTAGAAATACCGTTTTTTAGAAAACGGCTTTTGAAAAGTCGTGTTTTGGAATTAAAATAATAATAAAAATTGAACATAGAAACCGGCTTTTCTAAAGCCGTTTTTAATTAAGTTTTTCATTAATTCTAAATTAATTAAAAATAGTTTTCGTAAAATCGTTTTCACATTAATTTTTTTTAATTTATATTTTCAACATAAATATTTTTTGACCAAAAATATTTTTAATAAAAAACGGTTTTAGAAAAGTCGTTTTAGAAAATGGTATTAGAAAAGTCGTTTTAGAAAACGGTTTTGGTAAAATTGGTTTTACATTAATTTTTAATTTTTTTTAATTTATATTTTCAACTTAAATATTTTTTGACCAAAAATATTTTTAATAAAAAACAGTGTTAGAAAAGTCGTTTTAGAAAACGGTTTTGGTAAAAACCGGTTTTGGTAAAAACCAGTTTTACATTAATTTTTAATTTTTTTAATTTACATTTTCAACTTAAATATTTTTTACCAAAAATATTTTTAATAAAAAGCCGTTTTAGAAAAGTCGTTTTTACATTAATTTTTTTTAATTTATATTTTAAACACAAATATTTTTAATAAAAAAATGGTTTTAAAATTTTTTTTAAAATTATTTTTTCTCATGTGGGAAGGTTGGACATGGGAATCAAAAAATGAGTAAGAAAGCAGCAATTTCAATGCATTTAAAGATGGGTTTCTTTAGAAAATTACAGGACAAATAAAAATAAAAATTAAAACGTAATGCTTGCTTTGAGTTTTCTAAAACATTTTTTAGAAAATTTTATTTTCTTATTTTTCGTATTTTTTTTTTATTTTTGTTGATTTTTTTAATATTTTAAGTTTTTAAACACACCTAGCATAAATACACTAAATACCAAAAATACAAAAAAAAAAAAAAAAACGAAAACTCATTACATTTTTCATATTTTTGTGTATTTATTAATTTTTGAAAATATTTTTTTACAAATATTTTACTTTTTAAACACATCTAAGTAAAATGCATCTAAAAAATTTTTAAAAAAATGCTTAAAATTTTAAAAATATTCACTAAAAACAAAAAACTCAGTTTTCAAAAAACTTAATTCAGAAAACAGAAACCTAGGGTTTGTTTGGTTTGTATCTCAAGATATAATTTTTGAGAAATTTTTTTAAAATTTTTTGTAGTTCAAATTTTTTGAAAATTTTTTTCCAAAATCACTTTTCAAAATTTTCCAAAATTTCGAAGTGTTTACAAAACCCACCCTAGAGTGGGAATAAATATTTTGTGTTTTAAATATTTATTTATTTTTTTAATGTGCACTATATTTCGGGGCTTTTCCCATATTAAGCCAATTTATCATCTTAATTCCCAAACTAGGCCTAGTTTGGACGGAATTCCCAAACTAGGCTAAAGTGCTATTACAAAACACGCTTTCACTGTTTGGGGCCGAAAATTTGATGAACATTGAAAGCGCTATTAGAAATCATGCTTTTAATTAAGAAAGCGTGGATGCAAACCACGCTTTTAACATAATTTTTTTTAAAATTAAGAAAGCGCTATTGGTAGTGTAGTTTTTTGTAAGAATGAGAACATTATTTGTTATATTCACTGAATAATGGTTACATTATTGGGTTCTCACGATTGAGAAGATGAACAAGTTAAGAGAATGTGTATTTCTCCTAAAATAAATTTTGTCAACATTTTTGTAATAAAACTTAATACATAATATAAGAAGTCACTAATTTACTAAATACTCATACAGGCATGAAAACAATATAACTGAAGTTGCAAATGTAACAGTTTTCAGTTACATAGGTAGTACAGACATAAGTCTCCCACAAAAATACATTCTGGACACTATGAACTGAACACACAATACATATATCCTAGACACCCTGAACTGAACACAATACATAAACATAACAGTTAGACATACAAATATTAGGTAGATAATCTGACAAACTCATTACGGAAACACTTAGTCTGACACAGACATTACATATTAATGCAAGTTGTTATATTGCCGAAGTGTAGACATTAACACCTAATTCGCGCTTAAATCGGTAGGTGGCTCAGAGTTTGAATAATCCGAAAGCTCAACGTCAGAGACAAGTTCAGGATTCTCCATGATACCCTTGGTAGCCGCAACATTTGGTTCGGTTCTGTTCTGTTCTTCTGGGCATCCTTCTTAACTATGTGTAGCTGCATATCGCGGGCTAACCTACGGCGCATTTGAGAAATCTCACGCTGTAGTCTTTCACATAGTCGATCAACATTATCAGGATCTTCCTTTTGGATCTCAACAGAACGTGCTTTTGGCACCTTCAGTCGATTTTCCCGACATAATCTTTCCATTTGCACTCGCTCTATAAATAGTGCGGGCCACTTCAGAAGTTTAGCGTTTGTTAAACCATATCCTGTTTGATTATCTGATGGCTCCTCCACCAAACCACATGGATCTCGATAGTACTTGGGCATGACAAAATGTCGCTTCCCAAACCTATCATGATAAGCACAAGAGGCATCTAACAAAGCAAATGGTGTTTCATCTTCAGCATCGCCACTTCCCCTTCCCCCTCCTAGTCGTGAACTGCCACCCCTTTGCAAGTTCCAACCACCTCTGCGATTCCCACTCCCTCCCATGAACCATGTAGCCATGCTAATTTTTTAAAACAAATGAATGATAATTTCGTAGGGCGAAATGAGTTGTAAGGTTGTGTCTTCACCTTTAGTCATTTATATAGTTGGTTATGAACGGCTTTAGGAAGATGCCTCTGCATGACAGTCCCACATATACGAACAAGGTATGAGTTGTCACTAGAATGGAAAACAGAGTAAAGCAAATACCGTGTGCCAAGTCATGTGACTTGACAATGCATCTGCATATACCAACAAAGTAAGGGCATGCTCACTGTAAGGTAAATCAGTGAATTCACTGTTGCCATGTGACTTTTTGAATTAAGAATCCCACATATATCAATAAGAGATGAGTTGTCACTGTAATAAAAAAATCGAGCAAAAAATCGAGAAAACCAAAACCTGTGCACCAAGTCATGTGACTTGACAATCCATTTGCATATACGGACAAAATAAGGACACGCTCACTGTAAGGTAAATCAGTGAATTCACTGTTGCCATGTGACTTTCTGAATTGAGAATCTCACATATATCAATAAGAGATGAGTTGTCACTGTAATCAAAAAATTGAGCAAACCAAAGCCTGTCACCAAGTCACATGACTTGACAATCCATCTGCATATACGGACAAAATAAGGGCATGCTCACTATAAGGCAAATCAGTGAATTTATTGTTGCCATGTGACTTTCTAAATTGAGAATCCCACATATATCAATAAGAGATGAGTTGTCACTATAATAAAAAAATCGAGCAAAAAATTGAGAAAACCAAAGCTTTTGCACCAAGTCACATGACTTGACAATCCATCTGCATATACGGACAAAATAAGGGCATGCTCACTGTAAGGTAAATCAGAGAATTCAGTGTTGCCATGTGACTTTCTGAATTCAGAATCCCACATATATCAATAAGAGATGAGTTGTCACTGTAATAAAAAAATCGATCAAAAAATCAAGAAAACCAAAACCTGTGCACCAAGTCACGTGACTTGACAATCCATCTGCATATACGGACAAAATAAGGGCACGCTCACTGTAAGATAAATCAGTGAATTCACTGTTGCCATGTGACTTTCTGAATTGGGAATCTCACATATATCAATAAGAGATGAGTTGTCACTGTAATAAAAAAATCGAGTAAAAAATCGAGAAAACCAAAGCCTGTGCACCAAGTCACAAGACTTGACAATCCATCTGCATATACGGACAAAATAAGGGCATGCTCACTGTAAGGTAAATCAGTGAATTCACTGTTTCCATGTGACTTTCTGAATTGTCACTGTAATAGAAAAGGAAGCTTATGTAGGCAATGTTGTTTTTCACTTAGCTATGCATCATTCATTGTTACGACCAACTATTTGTATTTCATTGAAAAGTATGCCTATTTAAATTTTGGTGGTCATTTGGAATTATTTTAAAATCAACTTTTGAATATTGAATTTGTAATATTTTGCGAAACATTTACAATCTCAACTTTTGAAATAAACTTTAAAATAATGGTGGATCTTGTGAGTGAAACGTGGGTTACGTAGGAGTACTTGATTGGACTTCCAGGAATTGGAAGGCGACTCTTTTTTCTTTCCTGATGGAGATTGAAATTTTTTACGTAGAGGATCCCTATTTCATGAGCCCCAGTTAAGGGAAGCTTTTCACCGAGCTACCTATTCTGTTTTATGTGTTGTTGAAGGCGGTAGTTCGTTTGTCTGAACTTTATTAGTTCCCTAATTGGACCAACCACTTGGCTTTGAG